CTCACAATATTGATCTTAAAATGATTTAATTCCTTTAAAAATGATTTTATTTCTGCTGCTAATTAAAAAATGTTCCTTTCTACGAGGTAGAAATTGCTGGAACTGCAGCATTACCAATGAAATGTAACATTACACTAACACTGATTGAGGTTTGCTACTACTTTTTAAGACACTACTTTTTTCTGTGGATTGATATGACTGCACATGGTCACTTGATCAGAGCGGTCAAAAAAGAGCAGACCGCTGAATGGCCAAAGTAACCAATCAGAATCAAGTACACAACTAAGCTGTGTTAAAATGAAAGACAAATATCATCAAATGTTTCTTTTCAGATATAAACTGTATAACATTTAAGAAAGTAAATCTCGTGCTTCATAGATTCAAGCTGCTTCATTTAAAACAGACCCAGTAAGCAGATACAAATATGCCAAAAGTGAAAAACAGTTGTGCTGGAACGGCAGCTGATTGTCAGTGTTCAGTGGACATTAGGGGTCATTGATCACTTGACCAGTTTAAGGTATGTGTATTATGTGGTTCAGGGTTCTCTGCTAAACAGCTAGATGTAAATTGCACTGAGTAAGAAACCACTAAGAAACCATCCACAGCTATATCTGCCTTTGCATTGACCCTTGCTTTGCATAGGTCGTTTTCAGTCTGCTTGCTGCAGATGTTTCCACAGTACAAACTAGTGTTGGAGTGCATTAGAAAGTCACACATATAAATATGTTCACATCACTGGTTGTGGCAGGAGAGATAGCATGCAGAAAGTTACAGAGATCACGCTGTGACCTTAACACACTTCAACAACATAGCCATGACTTTTGGTTTTAAAGCACAGCAATATAATGATAATGTAATAATGTTAGTTTCCTTCTGAAACTGTTCAGGTTTGATACAGCTGCAGAAGTGCTTCCCCAAAAAGGATTTGTGCATAACAGTTTCATTACAAGCTACTGTGATTTGTAAATGACCCTCTTTAACATTTGAAGGATTTCTCCACCAACACCTCAGTAAGCTTTGATCACAGTACCTGTGTGATAAAGAAGTGTTGATGTAATAAGCACCTCTGTCCCAGGGAGCTGAACTCTATCTGACCTGCTGAACTTGTCAACGCTCTTTCAAATTATGAATAATCACAGTGAGCCACCAACAGCCATGCTAATGATGCCATTAGCATGGCTTATTTGGCCCTCATACGACTCCACAGCAGGGGCCCCGGTGCCAGCAGACGCAGTGCAAACGCACTTTGAGGAATTAACACTCCTATTGACTTTCATTGACTTCTCAAACACTCTATAAGCTCATTGATTCTAAATGACCTTGGTCATCAGAGCAAATAACTGCCCATTGCATTTAAAGTGCATTCTCACTGTGGCCGATTAACCACACTGTGGTGACTTTCATTTGAGATCAAACCCTTAAAAAAAGAAAACGTCAGGAAAAACGTTTTAAAAGTTTAATCAACTTAAAAGCGGAACATCCACTGGGGTGAATGAAGAGAGATAACATTGACCTACCATTTTGATAATTGGTTACATAGGGATATTTTCCCTATGGTTAGATATCTGTAGTCAAATCTATGCAAAAACATAGAGCTAGAGCTTGAGATAACATGTAGCATAAGTTTCATTCATTAGTCTGCCAGGAAATGACAGGAAAGTATATTTGTGCTATAAAATGTTCTCCCTAAAACACTTTATCACCATACTTTCACAGGGGTATTTTAAATCTTTAAACATAGACCAAACCTTGGTAAGCAGACCATATTTTGTTCTCTCCTTTCATTTCTGTGGTTTCTCTGTTCCTCCAGCCTCCGCCCCTCACCTCTCTCCTGCACTGTTCATGGCAACTAAGTGGTTTGGTGTATAAAAGTGTTGCCTTTAATAACACTACTTCTGTAGCTATAACAATGATTTACTCTCGGCCATGTTCAGGCCTGACGGTCTAATTGAAAGCAAGTTGGTTTCAAAGTCTTTCAACACTGTGTTGTAAATTCACTACAATGGTCACAAATTTAGAGGAAAATGGCCTTGGCCGTGCAAAGTTTTGTCTCCACTGGGTGATGGTGAACAATGGAGGGAAGCAGACGCTCTTTAGAATGAGCAGAGGAGGCAAAGTTCAGAGAAGTTCATTCACATCGTTCGAGGGCTGGACTCGCGGGGATAGGATGGCCGGACATAAAGGTGTCAGCTGCAATTTACTATTACAATTTGGCCATTAAGCTGAAACTCTTATCAACAGTGACTTACAATACGTACAACGGTTCAGCATTTGTGGATCCAATAATCACAAGTAGCACAGTAATAAACAAGGGCCAGGGACAACAGTACAATGTAAAGAAATGGCCGTGCAGAGGAGGGAGGCGGGATGTAAATCAGAAAGAGAAACAACATGAGAAAGAGGCCAAAGCACATCTGCCAGTGAAGCTGCACAAACACTCTCATTTAGCCAGCACATAAAAACGTTATGTGACAAATACATGCAGTCAAAAAGATCATGTTGCCGATACTGAAACAAATCCGCTGTAATCCATTTGTTTAAACTTGCAGGTTACTTAGAGAAACTGTTGATTAAGCCATGTTGCGATAAATGAAAACAGCATTCTCCTTTAGGATTTGAGGGAAACTATTTTCCTCACAGATTGCCGATCTCTGTTGCTAAAGATGTGGTGAATCGAATCTAAATGACATGGTTAGGTTTATTTAAAAACGATCATAACCTGGAAGAAAACATGTTTCCCTCAAATGTAATGACAGTACAGTTTTGTTGGTACGGGCTGGTTTAATAGTCTTACCTTATATGTTTTCCTGCATTGTTACAGGAGTCATTGTATTGGTTGCTTCACGATGTTTTCCCAGTTACTGTTAAACAGTTAAATATTCCTAGTGATTATGGTCAGACGACGAGTGATATTGTGTCAGGATTGATCCCATAGCTGTGCAAGAGACATCTTAGTGATAATCAAAAGTATGTAATGAAAAAGAATCCTCATAAAATCTCTCAAAATTGCATTTTTAAGATCGGTTTTGATCAATGTAAGTTCTGCAGCTAATAATGTAATACTTTTAAGTGTTCATATGGCAAAGTCTCCCTCTTTATTATCAAATATAATACCATTTGTTCTAGCTCCACTGGTCTTTTCAGAGTCAGAATTTTAGCTCACAGTACCTCAAACTTATTTGTGTGCTTCATCATCAATAATTATCAGTAAGTTTATTATGAAGATCCAACTCTTGTGCTATTTTGGAATAATAATAACTTTGGGTTGCAGTTATTGGTTCTTTGCATTTTTAAAGACAAAATGAATCTTCAACTTGGCTTGTTTTAAGCACCGACAGTCCTATTTAAACACCCAGAACTCACAGCAATCCGTTTGTTGCCTTAATGTATGAACCTTATCTCTGACCCCACAGTGAACATGTCCCCATGCTACCGGCCCACCACCACGCTTCCTCTGCCGTTCTTTAGTGGTGCAGTGCCCTGAAAGTGAACTGATCAGATTGAACTCTTGTTCACCCTGTCTGCTCATCTGCCAGGGTCATCAGCCCTCTGCTCGGCCTCCTTCTATGGATTCCAGATTTCTCTCCTATTTTCCTTTTCTCCACAATTTATTGATTCTGTAAGGATGATGGAATGTGTGTGAGTGTGTGTGAGGGCCACCCACCCTCTGTGTCCACAAAGTAAATACATTAACTGTCATCAGCTAATTTTACCTGGGGTTTTCAAATAAACCATCTTTATCTAGTCATGTTCAAACATAGATAATTAACGACTTCATTAAACCTTTTCTTTTAATTAGATCGTCTCTACTAATTAGTGTTTGTGCTTGCAGTTTAACATAAGTACTGCAGTATATCTCTTTAGCTCAGATAGCCTACTTCAGAGTTCAGGCTTTCTACTAAAACCAGTACATAAGGTTTTAAATCATACCAAATGCAATATGTGTTTTCTTCCTAAGAATAATATTAGAAGATTGATATACTGCATCTCATGTGTGTGTGATAAGTATGGATAAGGAGCCACGACTCAGTTAGCCTAGCTTACCATAAAGACTGGATAAAGGAGAGCTAGCCTGGCTTTGTTACCTACACCTATAGCTCTCTGATTAGCATGTTTTATCGTGTTTTAGTAATTCGTACAGAAACATCTTTACTACACGTTATTGGTGAATAACAGCCAGGTGCAGTGAATTTACAGAAACAAAAATATAAAAGTGTTGCTCTGACCCTGTCTGGTAACCTGCGCTAAAGCTAGCACAGATCAGAATTGCTTGGCAAGCGGAAAAGCATGTTTTTGAAGAAAGACTTCAAGGATGTCATGTTGACATACATGTGCGGCTTTTAACATATGTGATATATATATATATATAAGATGGATGCAGCAGAATAAGATATTAGTTTTCCATGTCTTCTTTCTTGTCAAAATCTGGTGTCAAATCACCCACAAAGCAACGTGACAACCGACAGATCCTGGAGTGCTACGCTAACAGCAGCTAACGTAGCCTTACAAAGCAACCCTGTTTTTTGCAGAATTGTGGTTATACCATTATACACCTAACCTGATAAGTCAATCACCTTTGGAGGGAAACACATTGTCTTCTCGATTACCGCGGCAGATTTATATTGAAAAAAGCTTGGTGACTTTCGGTTTCACACCGGAACAGAAGCCTCCTGGGTGAAAGTCCTGTCTTTATTTCAAATGTATTTGTGATACTTGAAAAATGTAGGCTGTTTAACTGGGAATGTGTTTGACTATAAAGTGTTGTTGTATGGGAACGTAACTTCTTAAGAGACAGATCAGGTGCAAGCCAGAAGTTTGGTGTCCGGCTAGCTCCCTTTTCTGCATCCAGTCTTTATGCTCAGTAAGGCTAACCTTACTCCAGTTGTCCACTTTGATTAGTGTCAACGTTTTCTGCTCACTCACAAATAAAAGACACGTTGTGTACATATTGTGTTTTTACATTACACTGTAGCCCTTAGATTAAAAGACAAACACCAAGATTCTCCGCAAAACAATTTTATTAAATAAAAAGCCCATACAAGTCACTTAAATAAGTTGAGGTAAGATACAAAAGTTATATAAACAAACTCTACATTATTATGTACAAAATCCTATCGATACACCTCTGAGCTGATTAAAGTGTTCCATGTCTGTGTATAGTGCATCTTGTTTAGTTTGTCAAACAAAACGTATATATATATATATATATTTATATCAATTTATACAAATCCACTGTAATAACATCATAGTATAAAATATGTTCTGAAGTCATCTACAATATGTACATTTCATGTTATTAAAAAGAAAAATCATCAACACAAGTCCATAAGACCAGAATTACAAACATATTTTGGTCGAGGTGTAAATGTAGCAGTTTCTTTCCAAAAAATCCCAAAGTAGCTTTGATTTAAAAAAAACAAACAAATGATTTGATGCTTTTGGGAAACCCTTATATATTTTACTCTAAACTGATTTTAGGAAAAACAACCCCTCGACATCTTTCTTGATTTTTTATGCATAGCTGGTAAACTTTGTTGGCAGATTGTCCACAGGGTACACAGTAGGTCCTGTTTTCATGGTGGGGGGCCCGTTTAAAAGGGTCCAGTGACACTTGGTGACCACCTCTACGAGGAAGATCTTCAGCAGGACTTTAGCAAACTCTTTGCCCACACACATCCTGGAGCCCCCGCCGAACGGGATGTACTGGAATCTGGAGGAGTCGGCAGAAGGTTTGGACATGAAGCGCTCCGGCTGGAAATCCTCCTTGTTGGGGAAGCACTCCGCCACATCGTGGGTGTCACAGATGCTGTAGATAACGTTCCAGCCTTTGGGAATTTGAAAACCCTGAAAGGATGAGGGCAGATGATCAGTAAGCAGGCCGATTGATTCATTTGTGTATCTTCAAGCTGCCACTTCTTAACAGATCTAGTAAATAGTTGTAAACTTACATTGAGTTCAAAGGTCTTGAGGGCCACTCTGAAGCCTCCAGGAACAGGAGGGTTGATCCTCAGAGTCTCCTTAATCACACAGCCGGTGTATTTCAACTGCTCCAACGACTCAAGGTCCAGACTGTGGAGGTCTATCCCCTGCTCCTCCTGAACACAGAGACACAAAGGCATGTTAGAAGGATGGTACTAACCAAAGTTTAGTGATACATGCTGAGGAATGGGATAGAGCTGTCTATAAGATACTATGTCACAGCCGATATTAACAGGCATTTTCCCTCAAATGGCTCAAAAGATGTTTGAGGACACTTTAGGATATTCCTCTTACTAAATCATGATCTTTCCTAGCAACTAGAGTTTAGATGTAATGGAGACATGGATTTCGTTTGCTGAAGAAGACCATAAACGTGTGCTGAAAGTTCATGAAAAGTTAGTATCTGTACTTAAAATCCAAAACTTTTTGGTAAATTACCGGTTTTCAAGATCAATAATTAACTCCTAATGTCCTGCTTAATTATTAAATGTGATTAAGTATTGCAATATTTTATAACATGTCTAAATTGCCACTATTTAAAGTGTTGGAAAAACAAGCTTAATATTTTCCGTTGTATTTACCTTCTCCATTAGTTCCTGCCTCAGTTTATCCACAACCTCAGGGTTCAGGCCCAGGAACATGACCAGGGAGGTGGCCGTGCTGGCGGTGGTCTCGTGGCCCCCGAAGAGCAGCTCTGTGGCAGACTCCTTGATGGCCTGGAAGTAAATAAGGTAGACGATCAGAATTAGTTCAAGCCCTAACCATTGAAATGGATGGTGAGAAGGACAGGAGACACAGTCATGTATTTTGACGTGGTAGATGTGATGATCACCTGCATGCTGAGCGGCTCCCCGCTCTTCTTGCTGCTGTCGATCAGCTGCTGAAGGGCGTCTTGATGTTTGGACTCTTTGTCTGAGTCCTGCATCTTCTTCTTGATGTTCTCCTCTATCTTGGAGTGGATGAAGTTCCTCGCCTTCAGACCCTGGAGGACAGCAAAAAGAAACACAACGTAAGAATATGACATAGACTGACACTTATTTAATATGTTAATATCTTACGACTGTAGGAACAGAACCAGAGTTTTCAAATGTTTAAACCCATTTAACAAAATCAGTTTTCATTACACAGCTGTTTTTCCTCCATACGTTTTAGAATTCTGCAAATGTGCTATCATGTGTTGACTGTTAAACATAGTACAAAATATCAATGTAATATACAGTTATGGTCCAACTTTTCATTAATTACTTACAATCCTTAACTTTACCAAAAGTAATGTATGTTTCATTGTTCATTTTCAAATTCAATCTATGTCTTTACAGATTTAGAGTGAGGGTAGGGCGAGGATGTGTCTGTCTCTTACCCGGTACAGTCCGCTGAACGGCACGTCGATGGGCAGAGAGAACAGGTTCTTGATCATTTCCTCGAAAGCTTCCACCAGCTGCTGCTCGTCCGTCTTGATCTGCTCTGGCTCGAAGCCCAGCAGGATCCTCATGGCGATGCGGAACATCAGCCGCTTCATCTCCGGGTAGACCAGCACGCAGGAGTCCTTCTCCGTCCACTCCTTCACGGCCGCCCGCACCTCCTCCTGGATGACGGGATGTAGAGCTCCAGAGCCTCTCTGGAGAAAGCCCGCATGATGGCCTGGAGAAGAGAGGGTGAGGTGTTCAATTATGAAAGCCAAATGTCCAACCATGTGGTATTATTCAGCCACACTTTCTGAGCAATGACTGGAAGTCTTGGGCAATATGCTTAAACAGCATATATGAAGAAGATCTATTATGTTGTCTAAGTGTAATCAAACTTCTCCTTATAGATCATCCGTCCAAAATGCTTAGAACAAGTAAAAAATCTGCCATTATTCCTTAAGATACAAAAAGAGCAGATCTACTTAAAACAAGCATTTTTTTTAACACAAATGAGATTTTTCTTAACTGCATTAATCTTGGTTCGTTTTGTAGGCTTTACTATATATAAACACAGTGGCCAATGTAAACGTAAAAACTGTAGAAGCAGATGTTTGAACCTTTTCCCAGGAAATACGATTTTTAGTATCAAATTATCACAAGTGCTTAATATCAGACTATTGATCATAACATTTTAACAATCGCAGCAATTATGTGAGCTGCAGTGTTTTTTCTTATATAAATTAAGCAAAATCGAGCATGAGGAAAACAAAGATGAAGGATATTTTCTTCTACATTCACTCAGACACTGAAGCTTCACATTTCATTAGAAAATAAGTGAGGATGGTTTTAAATTAATTCCTCACGCACCTTTTTCTTGCTCTTGTGCAGGGCTCCGTGCACGTTGGACAGAGTGTCCGAGCCCAGGATGGTGCGCACAGACGCGGGCCACTGCGCGGACACGAGCTTGTTCTCTCCCAGCAGAATCTGCCTGACGTTGTCCGCTCCGGTCACGCGCACCGTGGGGTTCCCGAAGAGGTTGTGTCCTGGTTAGATGTAGCCGTACTTCTGCCGCTTCATCCGCAGGAACTTCCTCCTCTGCACAGACACACAATATTATCATATCTGACTACACAGTGATACAACACATAAACACACACTGATTCATCTCTGAAGTTATACAAAATAAATTAAAAAAACTAAATAATAAATACAAATGTCATTTAAATAGATCTTTAAAATGATACTGCGCCTGTTTTAAATACTCTAGATAAATATAGTTGATTTGTATAGGCCTATTTGCTGTTTGTGTTGTTATGATTTATTATTATATTTCTAACTCATGTGCAATGCCTTGTTAAGTACATCTTTAATCTAATTAATCAACAATACTGGGATGACAAACTAATTTAAAAGCTGAATTAATCCGTTATGGTAGCATTTAGATTATTATTTTTTTGAATGTCCTCCAGTAAAATACAATGTTTAACTCTGCCATGAAATAATACGTTTGCCAATGAAAACAGACCAAAGTAATGTAAAAAGTTGAACACGAGTTTCCTTATCCACGCGTGCATGTGATAGTAGTACCGGGCCATGGTTTACCTGCAGGAGGAGCTGCAGCGTCTCTCCGATGAAAGGTAAGCCCATGGAGCCGGGGGGCAGCGGGCTGCAGCAGCTCGGGTCTCGGCCCCGGATCATGTACACCTCCCACAGCTTGAGCGCCACCAGGAACAGCAGCACGGGCAGCACGATGGTGCACAGGAAGGTGGCAAGCAGCGTGTTCAGGGCCATGGTGAGTCTGGTGTTGCGTTCAGGTGAAGCTCTGTCAGCTCTGGAGCCGCAGCTGCTCCTCTTGCGCTTTTATAGGCTGTCAGGACTGCAGGCAGCCTGCTACCTTCTCCTCCCTCAGATAAATTAGTTCACTCAAAGTTCATCTTTAATTGTGGGTGTCGCTGGGTCCCGCCCCCCCGGCCTGTCCTGGGCTGCCTTGCCTCGCCATTTGTTCGGGGCCGCATCCTTAATCCCTACCTCCTGTTGAACGCAGACAATCCGCGGCGGATTTCACTGAGAAAAGGTGATGATTCCCTGCGAGACAATGGATCGCGTCCCAAGACGCCTTTGTTGGCAATAAGGCAGCTAGTTTACACACTCATTACCTTGGCTAAGCCCCGCTTGTGGGATCAGTAATTAATGCCTGCAGGGCGGCCTGCATTCAGGAGCAGAACGCTTTTAAGCAGCACATTTTCAGCCCAAATGGAAAAGTGACTCCGAGTGGAAGAATGTCTTATCCTTCTCCCCGTGGCACCATTCAGCGCAAAGCCGACTTTTTCTGTTAATTCTGCGGCAGCCTCATTGCTTAACAAGGCGGCGCTCGCTGCTGCGTCCTCCGCGATTTGTCTGGTATAACAATGAGAGATGAAATGATGATTAACAACTCTGAAAGATGCTGCCCTCTGCCCTGACTCCAGCTTCTATCAGTCAACTCTGCCTAATCTGCAAGACTTTGACCTGCTCTGTGTGTAACCGTGCGTGCGTGTGTGAGTGTGTGTTTGTTATAAAAATGATATCTCTCAGCGGGTTCAAACTTGGGTCAGCAGAGACAGGCGGGGGGATGCGTGCACACGCAAGCACACGCACGCAAGGTTATCCCCGGGCTACGCCGCATGAAAAGTAAACACACCGAGCAGAGAAGGCGCTCATCTGCCGAGCCACCAAATCCTCACTCTGCGTTTGGCCTCTTGTTTTTTTTATGACCTGCCATAACGACAGGACGTGTGTTTATGTGTGTGCGTGTGTGGTGTGGCGTGGTGTGGTGTGTGTGTGTTTATGTGTGTGCGTGTGTGGTGTGGTGTGGTGTGGTGTGTGTGTGTGTGTGTGTGTGTGTGTGTGTGTGTGTGTGTGTGTGGTGGTGTGCGTGCGTGTGTGTGTGTGTGTGGCAGGTTATCGGTCAGTCAGAGAGACAGTTTGGCTGCTGCTTTTACAACAACACATTACATGGTTGGATCTGTCTGTTCTGGCTGACTGTGTACGTTTTTAAAGAGGTCGCCCCGAGGTTCACCCCGGTGGGAACTATCACACACACACACACACACACACACACACACACACACACACACACACCCACACACACACAACACAACACACACACACAACACACACCTCAACACACCACACAACACACACACCACACACACACACACACCACACACACACGCAAGAGAAAAAGCACTTGACATACTCATGGATCTGCCTCCATGGCTTGGATTCCTGACTTCGACTTTTTTTAGACTTTGGTATGGAAGTAAGCGACGAGAAAAAATAATTTCTAATTTCCAAATCCAATCAATATTGTTTTATCTCCTGTGTTTTTAATGAAAACATGACCACGGCGATTTTGCTGGGACTTTTCCACTGAGAATTGCGTTGCCAGTAAATCCAGCCATCTTAGATGTTATGCATGATATGGGCACCACAAACCTTTCTTTCACCCATTAAACGAATATCTAACCTTTTGATGGGTGATTTTTTGTTTTTAAGAATGTATATTCTAGCCATTTGTTTCACACCTGTCCCTTACGTCGTAAACATTTTTTTTTCTTTTTCGATCACGTCTTCGAAATGGATCAGTTTATTTGTTTTCTCACCGCTCAGGGCTTCAGCGCTATTTAACTACTTCTAGGCCAACAGTAACAAAACTATGCTTCACAGCTCCAACTGACCCTCACTTCCTGTGTAACGTTTCTTTTTTGTAGAATAATACCTGGGCCTGCATCCATCATGTCAGATCATATTGTGCTTTAGTGATGATGCAATGTTTCCAATCTATTTCATTGAAATTAGTACACATTTATATTTTTTTAGGACATTCCCTAAAATAGAACAGCCCAGTAAAAGCATTCTGAGATGTTTTTGAAGTGGACGCAGGGACAGTCATTTCAGTAATTGTTAACCCCTGCATTCCATTTAGGATTTGTTTTCATAATAGATCAAAGGAAATGTCACATTCAGTCCAGAAAAAAATGATAATTAATATGAATGCACTTATTTTTGACTTTTGACTTGAGCAGAGTAACTAACCTGATGATAACAGAAAAGGTCTAGTGATTAAATAACATATATTTAATGATATACAAATATTATGTGAACAGTAAACAGACCGCTGTAATGACCCCAACAGCAGCCACTATTAACCGAGTTTAATATTAATGTGGTGTTGACTCAGTGTTCTGACGGACAGCAGCGCTGATGACGGTCAGGGTGGGTGAGTTTCGAGCTGCTGAGTTTTCTCATCACAATGCGAATGTGTGAAACAGGATTCTGCTGTGCAGGTGTGATAAAGCAGGGATGGGGGGGGGGGGGGGGTGAAGGGAGGTTCAAGTGTGGAGAATGTCTTCCCCTCGCTGAGCAGCTGCTGATCACTGCAGGCACACCGCCAGAACTCACCACCACTGACTATTGTAAGGATAATTACGTTTATATTCAATGCATAATAACAATTAGTGCAGACCAACTGATAAACTGCACAAAAGAAAATGCAATAACAGCAGAAGCTTGTGACAACAAAAAAATATTTGCATACATCTTGAGAAAATGATTTCCTGTTAATCTTGCATCAGTTTTCCTGTTAAATTAGGAGCTATATTAATTTTTTTTCCCCCGATAAAACGAAAAAACTGAGTTTACATTGTATTATTTTTGTATGCATGGATAAATACTACAGGTTATGGAAAGAAAATATATAAATAGGGTAGCAAGATAAATAACAAATATTTCTGTAACAACTGTGGCTTAAGGAGAAATATCTAAATGTGTACTTCTTTCTATCAATTGTATTCCCTTATCTATGTTATTCATGTATTCAGGTACGTCTTTTGTCAGCTCATACACATGAGGTCAACATGAAGTAAACCTGTTGTGGAAAAGTACTAACCCTTTGCTCAAGTAAAAGTAGAAACATACAGTGGGAAAACATCTTTAAAAGTATGCAGTATATCTGAACTGTAGTGGTGGGTAACTGTATATATATAAAGCGACTGGTGGCGCAGTGGTCTGTGCGTTTGATCATCAGATCAAGGGGGCGTTGTGGAACTCCAGTTCGAAACCCGCTCCCGCCCCACTGCGTCAGGCCGTTGTGTCCTTGGGCAAGACACTTCACCTGAATTTGCTCCTGTAGGTATTGTCCACAGTAGATGACCATTACATGTATGATCTGTATTTGTAAAGCGCTTTGAGAGTCATTGATAAAGCACTATAATAAATATAAGGATTATTATTATTATTATATAAATATACGTATGTAGTTACTTTCCTTATCTGTTGTGATGATAAAAGTTCAGGGAGGGTGTCTCTGTATTAGAACTGATCCGGTAATGGTGTTTACTGTTATCATTATTACACACACACCACACACACAACACACACACACACACAACACACACACACACACACACACATCACACACCACACACACAACCACACACACACACACACACACACACACACACACCACACACACACATACCATGTATACATCCCTTCAGGGGACATTACATTGACGTTACATGCATTCCTGGAGTCTTATCCTAAACCTTAACCATAACCAACACATGCCTAACCCTAACCCTAACCCTTAACCTTACCCTAATCCTAATCCTAAACCTAACCAAGTCTTCACCCGAAAATTAATGATTCCCCTTATGGGGACCTCCAATTTGTCCCCATAAGGGAGGCCAGTCCCCACACGTGACTATGTAAACAGATGTAGGTCCCCACAAGTATAGTAATGCTAGACCACACACACACATACAATGTATACATCACTTCAGGGGACATTACATTGACTTACATGCATTTCCTGGAGACTTATCCTAACCTTAACCATAACCAACACATGCCTAACCCTAACCCTAACCCTTACCCTTAACCTTACCCTAACCCTAACCCTAACCTAACCAAGTCTACACACCTAAAATTAATGATTCCCCTCATGGGGACCTCCAATTTGTCCCATAAGGGAGGACAGTCCCCACACATGACTGTGTAAACAGATTTAGGTCCCCACAAGTATAGTAATGCTAGGCCACACACACACACACACACACACACACATACCTGCAGAGAGCGCACACTCAGCACAGTGCAGCGGCGCGTGCACACGTGTTTCTCTCTCTCCTCCCCCCACTCACACGCTGGCTGACCTGCATGTAACCCTGACATCACGGTGAACTCTCACACTCAACCAAGTTCACTGTTCATCAACACACACACACACACACACACACACACACACACACACACACACACACACACACACACTAGCACACACACACACACACACACACACCACACACACACACACACACACACACACACACACACACACACACACATATAGAGATAGAGACTTCAACTTTTCACCTCCTATATTAAAACATGTCTACTAAGCACTGGTTACGTCACTTGTGTTGCACTGATGTGACCCTAATTGGGTGGCCCCATGTTAGGAAGCCAAAAGCTACAAATGGAAACAGATTTACCTCTTGGATGCCATTATTGTATGACAAACATGATAAATAACCTTTATGATGCATGGCCAATGCTGCTATGGCAATAGCGGCACATGCTCATGCAGCAGATGGGGGCTGTCTGTCATGAACTCGTGGCTAGAGTTTTGTTAGAATTTATGACTTTTTTAACTAAAGCTAAGAGTCTAATTGTGACTCTTATAAAAAGATATGGTTATGAGTGAGGAAATGTAAACACATAAAGGATAATAAAAGATAACATCTATACGTGAAAGTCAGCAGCAACAATTGCAAAAAGCTAATAGGCAGAAATATGGTGTTGTGTAATAGAAGCTTCGAATGAAGAACCAAGCACAGTCTATTTCAAACTGAACCTTTACTTCATATTCCTTAAACAGTTTCCAAAAAGAATGGTGGAAGACAGAGAAAATGCACTCGACATGCTCGTATTCAATTTTTCATAACAATAGGAAGCAGTCAGAGGAAGAGACATACTTGTACTTCAAAATAAAAGCATTTCTTGTGAAACGTACCTTTTAACTTATATCAAGAAATCAAATAATCAAATGTTTTACTGCCTTAAATAAAACAAGTTACAATATATGGTCACTGTCACTGCACAGTAACAAATGATCTTATATCCCTCTAGCGCAGGGGTGGGGAACCTTTTTCCTCTCAAGGGCCATTTCAATTTTTACAACATCCTCCGAGGGCCGTACAAATTATTGAACTCAACATCTGCTTAAAAATACTAAAATCACAGCCCATTCTTTTCGCCTTTCTTTCATGCTGTGCAAAGAAAAAG